CATAGCAAGTCATTAGATGATTTTTTTGTTTTCTTCCAAAAATAGATGAGACATGTTGGCAAAAAAAGTGTTTAAAGGTTACTAAAGGTCACATTTTGATACTGAATCAATACTGACTTCATCTTGATATTGTCGGCTTTGTAAGGTGCTATGAACATAAACCAGTGACGGTACAGGCTATATACTTTATCTTTACTACCACAAAGGAGGAGATGATGATACACTGATGTGATACAGAATGTGGATGATGCAATGAACTAAAAAAACATCTTCAGCATCTTGTGCAGACGTGAAGTCAGTCGTGGTGGTTTATTTGAATACAGGATCCACCATGAGTTCATTTAACAGAAGACATGTTTTTAACAGTTCTTTTAAGTAAGCTGTGATGCCTTTTTCCAATGCAGCAGTTAAAATATGAAAACCAATCCTATCGTTGCACCTGTGTAAAACAAGAAAGCTTAAATGTGAAAAACAAACAGCGGATAAAACAAACTTGTGCCATTTTGAGGACGACTTGAGGAATTTCGGGACGCGTCGCAGGATTATCTCAAGAAAAACAACAGACCTGCTAGAAACTAATCAGATTCACGATTAAAAGCATTTTTGGGGGTTTTTTTTTGAAGCAAACTTCAAAGTAATGCGGCACAGCTGTGAATATAGTAAAACCTTCTCTGACAGTTTAAAGCACGACGACGTGTAGGAGAAGAGACGTGGCATGGGTTCAGTCGAGAAGACGCTGATGCTCGATAATAGAGAACGGTGTGTCTGTGGGCTGCCAGCGGTCCTCTACTTCTTTGCTTCGGGATAACATTCGGCAGCTCCAGCTGAAAATGAAAGGCTTTAACTGTAGGTAGTATTTAAGTTTAAATGCACTACTGGGACAGGAAGGAGCGCAGACAAATCTCTGTAGAACAGTATGCCGCTCGCTTTCACGCAACTGGATTCATTTTTGAAGGTGACAGTCAGTCATCTTTAATAGGGTCTCCCGTTTGACAGGCTGCACGCTAATCACTTTTACGAAGGCATGTTTGTGCAAGCACATCATGTCTTCTATTTCTAACAGTGAGCCTTTAACTGTACACCTGCACACATGCCACTATACCACTTCAATCATAATGTTCCCTGTTTCTTCTGACAGGCCCGGTGACATGTTAGAACCAGCTACACATGACAGTATTCCCCGCTGCATGACTTTTTTCCCACCGTAGTTAAAAAAAATTGAATATCAACATGCATTAATATTCAACATCGCGCTTTAAGAGATTAGTTTTCCATAAATATCTCGAAAAAGGCAGGAAATAAGTGCTGCTGCTCTGGCGGTGTCCCTCTTGCTGGTAATTGGTCCCATAACACACATCTAAGCTCCATTGCAAAGAGAAAAAAAAAACTGATGGAAAGCAGTTAGGCAATTGAAATTGCATTCAATCTTCAATCTTTTCTTGCATCTCTTTGACAGCTGCACAACCCCAGTGACAAAGCTCAGTGAGACAAGCCTGCGAGCTAGAAATAGATAAATTGTGTGCCACCGTCAACATGGAGCACACATTGGCCAGGGGAGAAAAAAAAAGAAAAGAACGTGTGCTGTTTAGGGTTTGGGTGACTGCACAAAAAAAGAAAAAAAAAAACCTGGAACTCAAGGGAGACATCCTGACATGTAGGTCTGAGTGAAAACATGATGGATTCGCTGTGGCTTGAGGATGTAATTGCTTAACAAACTGAACGCGGTTGTTGTTAGCGTTCGATATGATGTATACATCCCGTAAAAGCGCGGTGGCGTTTTTTCTTGGCCGTTTGATTGTGAAGCGACTGCGGAGGATGTATGGGGGTCTAGACTGGGGATCAGCGGGGGCTTTCAGTGCTCAGCGATGGAGAAAGGCTCCGTGGCTGTCAGGCTGCTCCCACTGATGAAGGGAAGCTGTGATTGACAGACGAGTCTTAGTGAAGACCACTGTTGCTCCCTTCACTTAGCCTGTGGGATAAGGCCACCCCTCAGCATTCACTGTATAGCTCCCTATCTACAGCGTTTTAAACATTTTGGTCCACGTGTCGCAGCCATAAGTTCGCCATTGTCATGCGTGCCACGTAGGAGCCTCAAAAAATAGCTTAATTTTGCTATGACAGAGAGCTTATGATAATTGCGTTGGCGCTGGAGAATTCTCAAATCCGTCTTTCTCTTCAAGAATCCTCTCATTAAATCAGTCGCATTCTTTCCTCCGGCGCGTTGCGTTGCCTCATCAAAACGAGGCTCCCAACACAAGTTTACGTCTCTGTATCCCTGCTAGGCCCTAGATCAGCTCCATGAGTTGAATTATAGAGCGAGAAAGTCATTAAGCGGGATAAAGATACAAGGAATCGATGGGGCAATGGATACTCTGCGGCTCTCAATTGTTTCCAGTCCAGTGCACATGAGCATCAGGGTGGTAAAGCCTGCTTGTTGTTTCCAGGTGAGCTGTCCAGCCGGTCCACAGCTCCTCAGCTACTGAGCAGGGTGAGGAGGAGGGGGGGGATCAATGACAACCACATACCCCGGCTACATTGGAGCTTCCAGCTGGTTACTCCTTCAACCATGTTCCACAAAGAAATGATTCTGTGCACAAAAATAGCCGCCAATGTCACAGCAGGATCATTTGATATGTATATTATTTTGGGGGTGCCGTGTTTATAGAGGAGAGTTTGATTACAAAAACACAATAAACCAGATGAGATAAAAAAACAAAAAAACAATTAATTCCCTGCAGAATAACGGGCAAACCAATCTTTGTTGTGGGTGGGCAGCTTTAAAATAGCGTCTTCGCCTGTCTCTAATTTTAATAGCTGTGTGGAAACTGCTGGATAAAAGAGACAGACGGGCATTTCTCGTCTGAAGGATTGCTCTGTTTTAGTCTCTCCTTTCACAGAGGCAGAGGCACACATCTCTCTGCCCTTAATAACATGCAGATTTGACTTGTTCTCCTTTAATTATGTGACCCACCTGGCCCAAAGTCTTTCCTTATGGAAACTAATGGCCAATTGAAGCTCTGGGTGGTTGACATTACACAGACATGCCAAGTGCAGCTGTCTTAAAGATGGAAAATAAATGACTTGACTGCAAAGAGAATTTTTTTTGGCTCTTGCAGGAAGGAAATGTATTCATTAAAGAAGATATCTGGTTTTATAGATGTTATTTTTTGCCTCGGTGACATCAGAGTCACCCACGTACAACTTGCATGATGTGCTGCTTCTCATGACGCCTGCAAGACAAAAGCAAAGTTTGCTAATTAAAAACTAAGTCACACTGCACATGTGCTTGCTGGTAAATAATTCACACGGACATTCAGTATTCATAGTGGTGAACATGCTGTACAACAAGCCATGACCTACACCGACACTCATGTTAAATCTCCAGTCCGGAGCAAGCCATACATTCCCAAGCATGAGATACAGTGTGACACTTGTAATTTGAAGTACAGCTTTAAAGGAGCAGGAGGACGGGATGGATCGACCTCCGGCTGAGACCGGCCCAGTCGATCTGTAAACTGGTCAGTAACCAAGTGTCAGACTAAAGTGCAATATGGCCCCGAGCATGTCACAGCGTCGAAGCATGTGATGCGCTGAGAGTAATCGTACAACACAAATGCTGTGGTTGGCTTGATGTGAATGAAATATATATATTTTTTCTCACTAAGTTTAGCTGCTTCCTCCACAGCACATGCGTGTGTGTTCATGTGGAATGACTCATTCATGCCTGTGGTCCATGAAGGCTCACAGCCCACTCACATCCTCAGACTGCCAGGTCCCTTCCTAGCCTCAGTATCAATACCAGGAGCTTGTGTACATATATAACAAACAACATTTTTTAAGTGGCCTACTAAACCTCAGTTCCTCCACCCTGGGGGCTTCAGCCACCCTGTAGTAGCTATATTTCCTGCTGTCTGTGTCTGTCAGTCAGCTCTTCTCGGTCTCGCTCTGGGAGGCCAACCTTTCAGCATTTCCAATGATGTGCCTCGGAAATCTGTTTCCAGGGCAACCGGGGTACCAAATACTCTCCCAGCGGCTTCTCGCTGGTGCGTCCTTTGTTTACACTTTTCGTATCTGTGAGGATGTAGGTTGCTCTAAACAGACACGGATAGGAAGGAAAAAAATAGCATATTGCGTAAAAACGCAGCCAAACATGGTGTCAGAGTCACCCAGTTATACACCCACAGTATAAATCAGGATTAGAGCTGAATTGTAGCCCTGAAAAAATGATTACAAGAGAATCTTTAGAGCCATATTTTCACTAGAGGATGTCGATTTACAATAAACCTCCCACACTATCCATGTAATGTCTAGCACTTAATTGTAGCACTAGAAAAATTCCTAAAGCCAGTTAATCCTGATGCGCAGCTGCGCGCACTGGGAGTTTCCCCGTAACGGCGATCTCGAGAGACAAACGCTATCATTTAAAATTGACAACTGTCGCCATGTAACAAACATTGGAGACAATGTTTGAATCTCTTTCTGGTGATTACCTCCCTCCTTTATTGGACTTATTGAAAACCAACTCACGTCCACCACTTTTAAACCTTGCGCTTGCGCGTAACGGAACCGGGAGCTGTCCAAGTGCTGAAATGAGAAAAGGCGTTCCTCTCCCATTCCTTGACGGTCCCCCACCTGAGAAAGATTTCACTTCATAAGTAACAACACAGGCCGACGGGTTGGTCTTCACAGAGCGAGCTGTTAGATCTCAGTCAGCGCCAAAGCAGGAGCCTCCAGCCGACGCGTCCTGGAGTTTCACCTTCTCGACGTCTGACCACAGGACTGATGCTTCGTGCCTCCGCTTCGAGAGATCTGTTTTTGGGAGTCAGAGTTTCATGAAACTAAACTATGATCTGTGGCTGCGTTGAGGAATGTCTCCTGTATTTTTGTGTGACACAAGAACACCCAAACGCCCACGACTTGGTCAGGAAGAAAGCGGCGCCCCTATTTGGATTATGTGTTTGACTAATGTAAACATATGGAAGAAATAGAAAAGTGAGCACATGGGGAAACCACCGGGAATGAATCGCTCCTCTGTTAAGCTTTTGGCAGCTTTATTTACATATTTCATGGGGACAAACAACTTCAGGTAGGTCAATTTCATTACTAATCGCATTTGATTTCACAGATTTAAAACAAATCAATAACATCCTCTATGAAGTGAACGAAACGAGACGAATATTTTCAGTATTTTATGGCTTAGTTAAAGCAGCAACATGAAGTAGTGCAGTTTTTCTGCACAAAGTTGAGAATTGCAATTGAGCGTTGTTTTGATTAGGATTTATTGAAGTTAGCCTTTATCTGCAACTCTTTGTTGATCCTGATTTTAATCATCAATGTTTTGTGAGTATCATTTGATCTATAAAATATTCCTAAAACGAAAATTATCCCCAGGAGGATGTTTTAAGCACTACAATGACTTTATAGTGACATTTACGCATGTAATGGTCTTATGTTTTCTCCTCCTTTGGCATCACAACAATATCCCTGTAATAAACCTATTAAAAATTCGCAGCATGCTGTGTATTTGAGGAGGAATCTTGTATTATGAACAGAGTAATCCTTTGGTAAAGAAGATGCACACCACGTCGAAATCACATCTGATACGTGTGTGCGCATTAACGCATTTTCTCGTTTGCCTGTGCGCGTCCATCACTCCCAGGCAGCTGCTAGGCGACAGATAAGCTCTAACTCTTGCTTCTGAGCTCGGACCTCTGTCTGACCAAGTGTTTTTTTTCTCTCTCTCTCTTTTCTCCTCAATATGTGTGCGTCCCAGAGTTGTGGACGCCAAGGAGCACGATTCCAGATCATCCTCCAACCTGTCTCCATCAGACTTTCTGGACTCACTCATGGGTCGCACGTCCGGGTATGATGCACGAATTAGACCGAATTTTAAAGGTTTGTTTATGATTGTCTTTTAGAAATCTGCTCACACTTCACTTCCCACAAGTATAATTAGCCAAAAGAAGAAAAAAAAAAAGAAAAGAAAAGACAAACTGGCACTGAATGCAGCTGAAGTTTAACATCTTTACTTATGCAGAGATCCACTGACTGTTATCTGTTGCCAGGATACTGTGCTGCCAGTCCTTTGATAAGAACAATCATTCACCAAAGTTAACATGATTGTCCTGGCTTGAATTAATTCATGAACTAAACCCATCACCATAACACTGCATGCTTGTTTTCCTTGTGTGAAACTGTGCCAAATAGGATCCTCATCTTTGTTAAATAATCATTTAAAAAAACAAGATGGGAGGAGGGGGGGGCTTGTCAGAAAGTCAGATTGGTTCTCACGGCAGACAGGGATGCCACCATGACAGGACAAATGATGGATGGTGCCCCTGTGGCAAGGCTGCAGGCTACTGCTTCCTCTGTTGTTGCTGCTGTGATGCTGAGGACAGACACAGCATCTGTCACTGGAACAGAACCGAGTGAGAAGAGGCTGCTGGCCCGTTGGGGCTCCAGGCCGGGTCAGGTGGGCTGGGATTTGTTGAGGGGAGGGTTTGGGGACTCCGGTAGCTAAAGCAACCAGCAAAGGGAGAGTGATGGGCAGGATTCAGAAACACATGGCCCAGATCTTCCCTTTCAATTTGGGAGAAAGGGGAAATGATAAGATTGCTGAGATGGGCTTGGGATGCGATGGCCTGTTTAAGACCTGCTGGTGTTTCCAAAGCAGGGATGATGCGTTGTTTCCAAAAGAGGATTATAAAGTGAATGTTGCAGGTGAAAATTTGTATGTTTTAAAGCAAACACACAATCACACTATCTGGAGCACACACATCTTCAAATCTTATTGCTGGTAGAACAAACACTTTGGCAAGAACCCACTCCGACGTCAACAGAGGATTTTCAGTTGTGAACCTGTTCGTCATACTTTGAAGAGTGTTGAACTGTATTTCTGATAGCTGACCTAGATTTCCTTTGCTGAGTTGGTTGTGAGGAGGCACTGCCTTATTTCTTTTTTTTTTTTTTTTCCTGCTTCTGCTGTTAAATGCAACTAGCTGACGACAAACTGAGGCAAATATTAATACCGAGTGCCATGCAATATTGATGAGGAAAACACAGGGGAAGGGCACTGGGAAGGGCTTACAACTTCACTTATCAGATAGAGAGAAAAGATTTGCTGTGACTTTAAATGGCATTTTCCATGCCTCACAAAAGAGATTTCAGTTCAGGCTACTCTGTGGAGGGGGGAAAAAAATTACTCTATTCATTAGAGCATGCTGGGTACTTTTTTACTAACAGTGCTGGAGAGAATATGCTCTGATGTGGCACTGGGACCTGCCTCTGGCGGGTATTTTCCACAATCAAACCATCTGTAAATTGCTTTCTTAATTGATTATGAATGAATTGCATGGCAGAAAAAAAATGTAATACTCAAAACACTATTTTCACAAGCTAAATTTGAATTATTTCATTAAATGTAAAGATATTTTGTTTAACATCATAGAAGGTGAAGAAAATTCACCCTTCAGAGGCTGAAACATTTAAAGAACTGATCAGAACAGCTGCCATTTCATTTCTTGGGGATTTCTGGTGATCCAGTAATTGATTAATCAGCTAATCAGTGCAGCTCTGACTTACTGTTTGTGTGCATGCTTTTGACTGTGTGTGCATGTATCCTGTGTCAAATGTGTTTACAGCAAAGGATCACCAACATTTTTTACGCAAGACGTCGCTGCATAAATACGAAAACAACTGTGACGTCATTACTGATGATAATATTTGGTTCATTTTGATGTCCAAAAGCCAAACGTGGGTTTTGTGCAGTCTTCTTGCATGCAACATGTCACCATCCAATCCTGAACCTGCCATAAAAACAAAACACTGCTTTTTGTATAAGTGCATGTTTTCATACAAAGTGAAACAGCAGCTTGTGCACCCAAATCTTTCTCTCTCTCTCTTTCCCCCCCAAAAAAGTGATGATCTCTATGGTTTAAGGCTCTCTCCTGTCATGTCATTGTCATTCCATTTCACAGGTCCCCCTGTAAACGTTACATGCAATATTTTTATCAACAGTTTCGGCTCTATCACAGAGACAACTATGGTGAGTTCCTCTGGCATTTTGGTGGATTTTTGTCCTGTACAATGTGTCAATGTGTTATCTATCCCTCAACCTGCAGGTCCACCAGTTAATGTTACCTGCAACATATTTATCAACAGCTTTGGTTCTATAGCAGAAACTACAATGGTGAGTTCAGTGTTGTTCTTGGACATGTTCTAAAGCCCCTGATCCCTTAAGTTGGAGTTAAAACTGAAACATCCTGTTTTTACCCAGCCTAATCTGCATTGTTTTTATTTTCTCCATGTTGCATCTTCCTATTCATGAAAGCTTTTTATCCCCCCTCCCCATCTCAAGGAGTCTATTGGCGGGTTATCCAATCAGCTATTGGTTTCTGCTCCCATGATGGCCTTTATGCACGTGCTAGCCCAGGTTTAATAATTCACACAACAAATCCCAAACAGTAGGTCACTTTAAGTGTAGCCAGTAATTGACGGTGGGGGGTTGGGGGCTTTCAAACAAGCTGACGAACAATATGCGACGTGTGAAGGCATCCAACTGCTACGGGGGTAAAAATATAAAACCTGCGAGGCAGCATTGCAACTAATCAGGATCAAAGGACTCATAATGACTGATAATAACTACTTAGACGGTGAATGGGAAATGTTAATTTGCGCAGGATCTGGAACACGCAAGACTGCCAGGGAATTACACAGTTTCAGACAGGCATGCAAATATTTGGAACCGCCAATATGCTGATGAAATGTCAGACAACATAAGGCCTCCTCATCATCATGACATATCAATTACTCCGAGCAACTGAGCTTTGTGGCACTCGCTTTACTACTAACTGCACTGTCAAGAGTTTTTCCCTCATCAGGCTCTACATCTAATAAATGCTTCATTTAGCCTCTATAATGGCTCTTGCATAATTTCTGATGAACAAGAAAAGTTATTATAAGGTCAGCGGTTTGTGAATGCAGCTGGAGACAATATCTAATCATCAAAACTGTCGTGCGAACACACGTACGATAATTAAGATTGTGCAGACACCTCGGCGATGGTGTTGCTGGGTGATGTAAAATTTGCCAAATTTGCATTCAAAATCACTTTTTTTTTCTTCGCTCATCCATTTTATTATTTGTCATATGTTGCTTTTGGTGTTACAGGGCTGCCTTTGGAAATGTTTTGTATTATTACAACAAGAAAAATCAGATTCATCGCCTAAGTAGCATAGCAGCAAAATGCATTACAAGAAGTAAAAGTACTCATTATTGCATGCATTGTATATAAATGTATGTATAATTAACATTTTAATGTTATGGTTTGCTAAATGTTGGTTACATAATCTGTAAAAATGCATCATATTTTTATGCTGATGATATTCTAATGATGGAAAATCTTGATTAAGTAGCTAAAGCTGTCATAGAAATGAAACTAGAGTATTTACCTGAAAGGAAGTTGAAGTATTAAGTATCATAAAATGGAAATACTTGATAAAAGTACATATACCTGAGAGCTTATTTTTCATGTGATGTATGTTTTGTGTGTTTTAGAATAATTGTGAATACACATGTGCAAGAATTTTAAGTGCAGTCTTCCTATTTACCTCATCAAGAAAACAGTTATTTTATGATACGATTAAAAACTGATACCAGTGATTGATGTTCCGTCGCACTGCAAAATATGCAAAGCCGCTTGTCGTCTCTGCAGGATTACAGAGTGAACATCTTCCTGCGGCAGAAGTGGAATGACCCTCGGCTGGCGTACAGCAAATACCCAGATTCCTCCCTCGACCTGGATCCGTCCATGTTGGACTCCATATGGAAGCCCGACCTGTTCTTTGCCAATGAGAAAGGAGCCAACTTCCATGATGTCACCACAGACAACAAGCTGCTGCGGATCTTCAAGGATGGGACTGTCCTCTACAGCATCAGGTGACGTATCGGATGTGTTGTTATACACGTTTTAAACCAACTCCAGAACTGAAGACTGAAGCCGATACTGAAGCTTGATCGTTCAGTTGATGATTCATTTAGAAAATTAATCTAAAATTGTTTCAATAATCAAGTATTTGACATGGACAAAACCAGACATTTAAGTACATCACCATGGGTTTGGGGCATTTTCCAAAACTTATCTCGTCCAGACCAAGTCACTATATGAGGAAACAATCGGTAGAGCAGTCAATAGTGAAAATAATGATAAGTTGCAACTCCAGTTTACACCATTTGGTATGATAGTGGTGTAGCTGAGGTAGGAATCTGTGCTGAATGAAAGATGATACTGCAGAGATCCAACAGCTCTGGTGCATACATTACCTCAGGACATGTTCACTTATTGCTTTTCTTACATTTCCTCTCAAACATCAAAGACTGTCAATTTGAAGCGTGCACGTTTAAACCGATTTTACTTCATTACGATCACTTCTTTGAAATGGTAAAAACTTACTCAACTACCGTACGTTCCCATTGTTCAATGTAGATTTTTAATAAAGCAGCACTGATTGCAAGAGGGCAAGCTAATCCCAGGGGCACCCATGAGAATCCAAAGCAAAGATAGAGCCAAAAGCAAAGAAAGAAGTGTGTATTCGTCTTCCTCCTGGTGGTCCTTGTGCACAGAATATTACATATATATATATTTTAAAAAGCATTATAGTAGACTCAGAAACATGCAACCCACTCAGGATGGATAACATTTTGAAGGTCTATCAGCCAAAACTTTGAGCAAAGCACAGGTACAAGATATGAAAATATGTTGTATTTTATTTCAATGCAACTTGAGTTCAGCATTCAATTCTTTCTGCAATGATGCGATACAAAGCAGATCAATTTTGGGTCCATTTAAAGAGCAGCTGAAGGCCGAGCGGTGCTCAGGTGTGGAGCTAGAGTGGGTCAACGGGAGAAATGAAAGGTGGTTAGTCGCACTCTCCATTCATGGGAGAAATGACAGAGTGGGGAGACCGCAGAGCACAATGCATCACAGAGACAATAAGTCGCAGTAATGAAAGTGTGATAGGAACCTGCTGAAGGGAATCTTACATGATATGTTGGAGGTTATCACACAGGAGAGGAGAAAAAAAAAAAGGTACCTGATACAGAGATTACCAAAAAAAAATCTTTCAACTGTGATTTAATTTTTCAAGCAAATTATTTTCAATCCATGTGTCAACCCACTAGTTTAGGATTTAATATTTCTTTCAAAGTGAAGTAAAATATTCATGGATGTGGACTGACTTTGTCCACAGGTTGACTCTCATTCTGTCGTGCCCGATGGATCTGAAGAACTTTCCGATGGATGTCCAAACTTGCACCATGCAGCTGGAAAGTTGTGAGCACTGATTTTCTCAGTTCGGTCGCTTGCTGCACTTTCTCAATCGAGAAGCCGCTCTGTATCTAAATTGTTCTATTCTTTTCTTATTTCTAGTCGGCTACACTATGAATGACTTGATCTTCGAGTGGCTGGAGAACGGCGCCGTGCAGGTGTCGGACGGACTCACCCTGCCTCAGTTCATTATGAGGGACGAGAAGGAGCTGGGCTACTGTACCAAACACTACAACACTGGTCAGAGGACACGTAGGAGAACCCCAGGATTGTTTAAATTTCATAGGATTACACTGTTCTAAAGTTGATTCTTCTTGCTGTTAAACAGGTAAATTCACCTGTATTGAGGTTAAATTCCACCTGGAGCGGCAGATGGGCTACTACCTGATCCAGATGTACATTCCTTCCCTCCTCATTGTCATCCTCTCATGGGTGTCTTTTTGGATCAATATGGACGCTGCTCCTGCCAGAGTAGCACTGGGCATCACCACTGTGCTTACCATGACCACTCAGAGCTCCGGGTCCAGAGCTTCTCTTCCAAAGGTACGTTTTTTTTTTTTTTTTTTCTTTCAGCAGAGAGCACGATAGCAGGTCTAACGCAACACATCGCTAAGTTCAATGTTGCCGAGATCAAATGCCGTCTCAGTCAAAGCACATAAAAGCCTTCACTGGAGGAGCATACTGCAAAGGCAGCGAGTACATGCATACGTTGATTTGCATACAATACATGTATTTTTATCAATCGTATGCACTTTAAAGAAACTGTACGTGGTTGCATAACTACATTGCTGTGTTCAAGGTTGAGATCAAACTGCTGCAAGTGTTAGAAATCTGGGATAACAAGATGCAGTTCACAGTTAAGATGTGCTTTGTAGACTTAATTTATGAATGAATGTTTTTAAGACAGTTTGATCTGAGGGTAGCACAAGCACCTGTGAATATCTGCATCTTATGTCTCATCAGTCACATTTAAAACATCATCTGACATTAAAAAAAAATCAGTCCCTGGATTAGATAAACCTCCAAAAACTCCTTTAAACAGGTGTTTCTTTCATGTTGTCTTATTTATTGAATGTATGTAGACCTATTGTATTTTTTATTTTAATACATGTTGTGCTTTTGGCTAAATTTCCAAAGACAAAAGTGATTTCCAAACCATGTCTGCAGCTACTAGAGAGTTGTTAGAATAAATAATTTTGCATGTGACTGCTAGTAAGAGTTCGTGGTTTATTTAAAGGTCTGCAATATATAATATATGCAGCTACGGGGACCTCAAGTCCCAACTGTACTTTAAAAGAAAAGCAACCAGTGGCACAATCGTACGCTATTTTTTCTTTAGATAAAGGGTCCATGGGAATGAAAATGGGTGGTGCTGTGGTTCTCTCTTAATGCAAGACGCGAGCAGAAACATTTCATAACTCAAAAACAAACACAGAATCCATCTAACCAGGAAGTCACAATGCTCTCTAAACTAAACGAATCAAAGCATGCTTCATTTGAGCTACAGCAGCAGGAGAACAGACATCTGTGATGCGAACGCCGCTGCGATACATCAGAGGATAAGAAACACCTTAATTTGAACCCAATTAAAGTGTAACTGTGCCGCCCTTTTCACCCGATATCTACAACTCACAATATTCAGCATTCATGTCCCAGCAGTGAAGATGCTGTGCTTTAAAGCACGTGTATACATTACTAACCGCGGCACCGTTAGTCTGCGGTAGCCTATTTTCAATCACGGAGAATTGCCATGTGAAGGGTACTGTAGGCGCACTGAGAGTCAGATCTTGATGATCAATCACTCTCCACACATCAATCTGCACACGAGTACCAAAAGCCGCGTCAGAGATTCTCACATGAAAGACACGTATACTGATAAATATTTAAAGAGAAGCCTTTGAGAGGCTCGGTTCACAAAAACAATAACTCCATATGCCTTAAGTACCCTCAAAAAGCTGAGTTGTTTTCTCTCCATGCTAATCAGCTGTCATGAAGTGATGAGGTCACACTGATGAGCAGTAAAGGCTTTCTACTTCATCCTCACCTGCTCAAACCAAACAGATCAAAAACCAAAGGTACAAACTATTAATACACCTCTGTCTCTATTAGTAATTAATGCCGCAATTACCTCCCACTGATTGTGGCAATGCAATCACTGACGTTGCTGGCAGCTTTGAAACACTTGTTACCAAACATTATAATTACAGTCATTTAGAAGTCACAGCTAACTCACGCTTTGGGCAAAATAAAAGGAGGAAATTGAAAAACTGCCTGACAGATCTAACAGATCCAAGACTCACATTTAATAAAGAAAGGTAGCTTAAGAAAAAAATCCACCGACATTAAAAGTCAAAGCACAGACTCATACTCCATTTGAACTGTGAGCTGATGCTGTCACCTTGAAGGATCTAACAAAGGAAATCTGTTTTCTTTCCCAGGTCTCTTACGTGAAAGCCATTGATATCTGGATGGCTGTGTGTCTGCTCTTTGTATTTGCTGCATTGCTAGAATATGCTGGGGTTAATTTTGTCTCCAGGCAACAGAAAGAGTTCCTTCGCCTGAGGCGGAGACAAAGGAGGAATCAGAAGGTAGGCTTTCAAAGTCCTTACAAGGTTGCTGTTTGGATATCAAACTTTTTAGCCACACTGGTTGTGTGGCTGTAGGGATGGCAGTGTTGATAAGTCAGTCGTAACACTTTGATCCAGAATGAAATGTATTGGTAACTACTGGATCAGTGCTGCTGCCCAGAGGATGAATCATCATGATTTTTGTTTATAGACAAAAACAGGTCATCTTTTTCACTTGTAATATTATGAGATTTTAATCGCAGCATCTACTGGGTGAATTTTTCCAGAAATCTTTGGGTCCTAAATGATCTATTCTAAGGCTTTTGACCACCATGAGGCTCACCAGGCTGATTTGCAGTCAATATTTCAACATCTTTTGAATGGATTTCCATGAAATATTGAGCAAACATTCATCTACCCGTCATCCAGATGGACCCAGAATCACAAATCATACATTATCCAAAAAGGGTATTCCAATCTGTGCATACAGTATATGACAGAATTTAATTGATTTGGATAAGGACCCTTAAATAGGAAAAATAAATACAAACTCATATAAATGCACAGGATACAGATAACAGATAACAATAGTAATACTTTTTTATGCTCAGATAAAACTGCGAGCATGTCCATCAGCTTAAACTCTACCTGCTAGCATACCCACTTGTTGGGATATTGAAGAAGCCTACTATTATTTGCTTGATTAAGATTCATCCCCTGAAGCATTCATTCTAAATGGTTTTTCATTATAGTGCATCAGGTTATCTTGGGAATTGGTTTTATTTAATTTAAAAGTGTTTATCAAGATTGCATTCATGTAAGTTCACTGCTACTGAAACACAAGCCTGTGGCAATTTAAAAGGTGAAGTATAACATGTGAGCTGCAGTCTTTCATAAAGATATAGTAAGTGCATTTGCATTTTCCAGGATGAAGACATGCGCGAAGGCCGCTTTAATTTCGCCGGCTACAACATGAGCCAGTGTCTGCCAACAAAGGACGGCTCGGCTGTTAAGAACGCCGCTCCAGCGCCGAACCCTCAACCGCCGGTCCCAAAGGACATTGATACCATGAGGAAAAAGTTTGTGGACAGAGCCAAGAGGATAGACACGATCTCCAGGGCCGCGTTCCCTCTGGCTTTCCTCATCTTCAACGTCTTCTACTGGGTCACCTACAAGATCATCCGGCACGAGGACATCCATAAAAAGTAAAGACTCTACCCTCGACAAATAACATTCTATTTTTCATTTCTCAGATTGAGAAATGCTCGGAAAGCACAGAGAGATGAGACGGGTGGACTGTGCATTGAGAGGCACCACGGGGATGACGGCGGTGTTCTTTCAGGGATTATGTACAATGTTCATGCATCATACAGTAAATGCTCATGTTCTGATAATGTGAACAGCTCTTGAGGCACAGACAGATGCTTTATTTGTTCTTGTACCGCTGCGTAACATTTGCTGAGGAATCAAGGGGAAAACGGTTTTAACTCAAGACTTAGTAACATGCTGGAGAAGACGGACCAAAAGTATTTTTCAATCAATTCCGCCTTGGCATCTGTACAACCAAGGGACAAAGTAACATTCCATGGATTCTTAACTGTACGGTAGCTCAGTCAGACCCTCAAAGACTTTTTGTGATTGAAAAAAATTTCTTATCAAGGATGTTTTATAGTGTACTGTTGTCATGGCACTTCCTCTCTGTTTGTACAAAACACAGCGGCAACTTCTAAGCTACGTAAACAGCGCGCATACAGATGCACCAAACATTAGGAAGCAGCACACGTCTCAGGCATGAGTGTGAAAAAAGCAAGATGAAAATCTGGAATGGGAAATTGGATACTGCATTTTTATGAAATACCTGAGGCCTTAGATATCAAAGATTTGGTGACATGAAGTGTTATGCTTCTCTATTTTTTCAAGCATCTCCTCTTGTTGAGTGTTCTATCACAGCTCAATGCACCGTTTGAGCTTTTCTAACTATGGCCAGACATCCAAAGGTACTTCTTGATGTTTTTCCTTTATCTCTAAAAAAAAAAAAAAAAAAAAAAAAAAGGCAGCAATGATGTCACCTAAAATATCTGTAAGATTCTTTTTTTTTTCCAGATGTTTTAATTTTTTCTTTTAAATCTGAAGTAATTTATTAAATAAACTGTCATATATTTCACAGGCTATGTTCATACAAGTATAATGGTTGATTTTGAGTGTATACGTAAAGCCCACAAACTGTGAACACGCACCACGTTATTAAATGTTGTCATGAGCCCATATCCACATGAATTCATTTATATTGCAGGTAAATACTCCAGGTATCTTAGGTATGGTTTTAGAGGTTGAGACTACGTTTTTGTAGATTTTAGTCTAATGAAATATTTATTGTAATGGGGGAAAGGTTATGTTTATAAAATAATATCTTTCTGTATACTTCTTCGACTTCCGTTGTGGACTGTTTCTCTTCACTTGGCGTGTTTGTTGCTGGACGGTGACATTTGTTTGTAGATGAGCCCAACAGTGACGGACAGATCTGCATAATATTCATGGTACAGAGCAGCTAATGGCCCTTGCACTCCTGACATACTGTGGTGAAGAACTCTTTTCTTGAATGCTATTCATGAAAAAAAAAAAAAGGTTATTTACTGGCCTGTACATCAATAAAATTGACTGTGCACCATATTTACTTCATTTCTACCTCTCCTTATAAGGAAGTAACCAATGTTCTGCAGCGTTTGATATTTTCATGCATTTGCGGATGAGCTCGCTTTCTTCTCGTATGGAGAGATGGATGCCTTTCAAGAAAAAAAAATAACAGATCAAATAAGGCACAAACACGAAAATGCTTTTTGCGCTCGGTCGCAGATCGGATCAAAGAAAATGACAAACACAGTCTCTTCTCTTCACCAGGCTGATAAGTCAGGGTGATGACACATGCCATGGATCGCTGGGTGGCCTGGGGTGACACAGATATGATCTGACAGTGGGTTTCCATTAATGCATGATAATGGACTTTACACTGTAGTACTCCGATCAGTTGGTGCTCACCTACCAGCTGACTGGAAGATACTGGCAAAGCTCCACGAACACACGAGGAAAACTGTATCAGAAACATAAATAAACTAACAAGGATGCTTCTTAAATGACTCCCACTTGTTGTTACTGCCTGTGAGGTCAAACAAACGTCATAAATACCCTGCATAAATATATGTACGGATTACCCTGTGAGACACAAGAGTGAACACATCAGCTCTTGATGCACGTATTTACATTTTCAGACCAATAATGCCAGTCATTACCTTACTGTGGGTAATGTTAGGATCCATCAACCCTTTCTATTTGTTTTGTGGTGACTACATGGGCTGCGGCAGGCTTATTGAGAAGGTTGCATGAATCATCCAATTGCTATTTTAATGCTCAAAACACAGGGATTATAAACTAATCAGTGATACTAATCCTCACATGGAAATACCACCCATTTCACCAGCAGAGCCTCACACCACGGCCAAGCAGCGCTGCAGTCTGGATACGCAGGGCTGCAGTAGCCCCTCCGCGCAATCAAGTTCAGCGTAACGTCTTATGAAAGGAAAATTATTTTGCAGCTTATAATTCTGTTTAAGAGGAAAACAACTTTCCATCATTCATGGGGTTTATTGAGGCTGCTCTGCGAGGTCTGAGAGAGGCAAGAAATGAGGGTTGCTATAGCAACTGCACAGGAGTTGATAGGGCCAGTGTGAGAGAAAAGCGGGAAATTAATGAAGTTAAGAACACTTGTGCACGGTATTTCCAACAAAGTGTCTCAGGCTTTAGCATACATACTGCAGTCTGCTGTGTTGTAGTCATAAAGAAACCAAATTTTCTGTTTTCTGTAGGTGTTGCTCAGATGTTTAAGCTCCCATGACACCCTTCAAACTTCAACACAAAGGAGAGTCTATGTTACGTATGTGCTATCTTCCTTACTACTGCTGTACCACATAATGGGAGCTGTGACACTGTACTCCATCCTCTTAAAGCTTCCTGTAGCTAAAATGCTGCCTCGTCCATATTCTGTAAAGACACAGTATGTAATTCCTGCCGTCAGGTTCCTCTTACATATCAATCAAAACAAAAGATGCAGTTTGATGACGTTGCGAAATAGCGTGGGATCTACGGTGTCCATGTTTTTCACCACCCTCGCCGATGAAAATCTATGTGACGTGACTAAAGCTGTGTCTCAATTCAGGGGCCGCATCCTTCAAAGGCTGCATTTAAAGACCAAATCCATCACATCGGCGTGACAAGGCTGTCCCACTTCAAAGGATTCTTCAAATGCGGGTGAGAAATTAGGTCTCCTTTTCCCGGGCTGCAAAGAATCCGTTCCAACCTATCCCAAGATTCATTGCACTCTGGTGACATTTGTATTGAGTGGATATGGTGGACTTCCCAAATGATTAAGCAAACCCAAACAATAAATAAATACATAAAAAAATGAAGTCAAAATTTCTGGCTCTATCAAATGGTTATCAGAGATGTCTCTGGCGGTGGCCTGAATGGTAACTGACAGGAGCAGTGCTTCCTGACACAAGGGTAAAAGTGGGAGCCAGCTGTGACGCAAATAGGAATTCCTCCATCATACGAAGCCATGTGATTCAGCCATGTGAAAAGCAAAAATCATGTCAATGTAATGTTAAGTGCTAACTTCCAAATAGATGACTTAACGACCTATACAGCTGCTGTAACCAGACTAATGTGGAGAATTCACTCTTACCATAGCATGGCACACCACTGTTATCTGTACTCAAAACTCCAAACAATAATCCTGATTCATTGCTAGTGAGCAATACGAACAATAAAATGAGGAACTAGCTCACCGACTCTCCTTCCTTTCACACTCTGATGTATTGTCTCGTGTTTCCTGTGTTTCCCTGGCGACACCACGTAAAGGCGCTATGACGACTCAGAGAGGTGACAAAAATGAAACAAACTGTAACTTAGAATAAAATTACGGATTTCTTTGAGTTTAAACATTGTTGGTATGATAATAATAATATTGATAATGCAAGTAACACACTGGTCTAGGTGGTTGAGAATCATTTTGTCCATTAAAAACATCCATCCATCCATTATCTATACACTGCTTAATCCTCACTAGGGTTGCAGGGGGCTGGAGTCTATCCCAGCCGACTTAGGGCGAAGACAGGGGACACCCTGGACAGGTCACCAGTCTATCACAGGGCTACACTTAGAGACAGACAACCAAGCACACTCACATTCACACCTACAGACAATTTAGAATCACCAATTAACCTCAACATGTTTTTGGACTGTGTGGGAAGAAGCCAGAGAACCTGGAGAGAACCCACGCTGCACGGGGAGAACATGCAAACTCCACGCTGTAAGATCCTGTCCTAACCGGGACGCGAACCAGCGACCTTCTAGGTGCGAGGCGACAGTGCTAACCAACTGCTCCACCTTGAAACCCATCCATTAAAAACAAACAAAAACAACTTGAGACCAATGGTGTCTCAAAAACCTGATTTCATCTCCATCCATAACACCTGAGCAGCTGAGGAGGGCCATAGTATGTGGTCAAAAGCTCCAGAAACACTAAATAAGCGTACTGAGATCGCAGGTTTTTCAGATTTCAGCAGAAATGTTAAGTGCTTGTGTGAGTCAATTCCCTGGCATGTTAACCTTCTGCCCTAGAGTCTGCTGTCGGGGTCGAGAGGTTTTCTATTTTCGAAGAAATTGCCAAAATTACATCATATTTTATTACAGTCACTTTGTTCTATGTGGTTTTATTTTTGAAAAAATACCAAAAATCTGACTTTTGCGACAACCAGATTATGTAAAAAAACAAAAAACAAACAACTAAAGCTATGTCATAAGGCAAAAATTCAATTACTATTAGGTTGAACTGCAGGCAGTGTTTACACAGAACACCTAGGAAACAAATTAAAAATGTCAGCAGTAAAATATCTATAGTGTGCAGAGCTACTACTTTTTGAGTGTCGATGACACCTGTGGGCAAAAACGATGTTGATTCCAGTTTTGTTTTTTTACTTTTTGGTAATTAAATAATTCAATTCAACCTTCATTTTTTTCTTACTTTATCATTTAGGGCACTTTAACTGTGTTATATTACACATTGAGTTCTACTTCTTTCCATGCTCTTGCTGTTTGTACAAAGGTGTAGGACTTTATATTGTAGTTAAAAATGAGCAAAAAAAAAATGCCCAGAACCGTCCTGTGGTTCAGAGGGTTAATAGAACAATTCATTATGCATGTACAGTTTATTATCTGTACTATTGTGCCTCAGGACCTAATAAAATGGCCTACACAGGGTCGTAAGCAAAATTCACAACCTCAACTAATTAGATACCTCTAATTATTTATGTCAGTGTCCTAAAACAAGAGAGCATCTAGGTTAAATAATTTAAATACGGAAACAATAAATTTAAATGTTGCTAACTCATACTTTTTTTCTTTAAAGTAAGATATTATCTCACATGGGAGCTCCGAGCATCCAGCATCATGTACGCTACTGTATGTGGGCTGTGTACTAGGTGTTATGTTGTTGTAGATGGAATCAATGGCTGCCCACTCTGTTTTTTTGATCCAGTGAGTTCCAGAGTCTAGAGGCGAGGAAAGCCTGTGACCTCGATCGATAACAGTTGACTGCATGCAAAGACCGGTGGCCTCATCGCACAGCATCAGTAAAATCGTGGCTTAGCGGCAACCGTTCATTGTCATAGAGGTCTCAACCGGAGATGATTTACAGGCATCAGCTAACAGAGGGGGTCACCCAAGCAACATAAACATTAAATAAATAAAATAAGGCTAAATTGGGAGCTGTTGATCATTCTCAGGTTTATTGCACAGTTGGGTAAACATTAAATTAAACTTAATAATGCCTTCTGATGCTGGTAAATGTTGAGTAATATAAGCAAACACAATATTATAAATAAATATAACAGTCTTGTATTATACTTAGAATAGTGGGATATAACATGCTGGGCTTTAATGTAACTCAAATTCCTAAAATGCAATTTAAAAATACTAATATAATCAATAAATGAATGACAGCATTTAGAAACTTAATATTGTGCTAATTGTGTGGCACCGTATGTTCATTGTCAGCAGAAAAAAAAGGAAACCCAATGAATCAAAGCTGCTTTTGGAGAGCCAAAATTTGGACTGGAACACTAATTAAAAGATAATAAACCTTATGACACATACCTGCTGTTGATAGCTTTCGTTTTTAGACCGTCATCCTTCCTCCAAACGCCGAGTCTCTTTCCTATCCGGAGCATCAGATTTTTTAGACCCCACCATACTCGTAGGTGATACGCCGATGGGCTTTTTTTTGGCTTGTGTGAACTCATTTGGCAAAGACTTGAATCTAGCAGACCTTCATTTACAGGTCCAGCACTCCAGCTTTAAGCAAAATTGTGCGATTAAAAACTAATTATTAAATAAATTCTGGTTTTACTTCATTTGTTTTGGCTGATTATGTGCTAATTTGCACTTATCTCATACATCTGACTTGCCATTAATGATTTTTATAATGAATAACTATTTGTCTTTCGCTGATTAGTTCTGTTCGGAAACAGGCTTCCACACTGGAGTCGCAGTTGAAGGCTGGCACAGGTGTCAGAAAACGCAGGGATCTGTCAAGTCTGCTAATAAACTAGACGGGGTATAGATTTTCCTTTTCTCTATGTGCGAGATGTTTCGCAGCAACAGCATTATTTATCTACTGCGTCTTCATTCCCCATTAAGGTGAGGGGGGCTTCAGCGTAGGGTAGAAACCCTGCAGTCTTCTTCCACCATTCAGAGTAAATAGAAGTTAACAGGCAATAATGGGATGACAAACCATATATTTTATTGGGGTGGCAGTCGAGGCTCTAAGGGAACACCAATACAATTGAATTGTCCTTTCCACATGTGATTCATTTCCCTCTGGCCATTTACTGGTGTTATTTACTGTGCGGGATTCAAAAGTCTTCCTCGCTGCTAGAAGTGACAGGGGTGTTTGTATGGCAGCCAAAAGGGGGAGGAGGGGGTGTTTTCTGCATGTGAGGGATTAAAGGAGCAGAAAAAAGAAAAAGTGCTTGTGTGTGATCAGCTTGCATAGTGGCTGAAGTTGAGCTCGCGAACAGAGCTGCAAACTGGAGCTTTATTTACACACGGACGTGACAAAAATAGAGTTCCTGCTTCTGTTTCATTACCCAACAGCGGCGAGAAGTAAAACATTAGAAACCTCTCATGAAAACTTTTAAGTGGTTATGTTTCGGTTATTCAGAGCAAGTCCTGTGGCGATAAGTCCAGTGGAAGCAGTTACGCCCAATGAAGCAGAGACATTAAAGGTGTTAAAGATGGGGAATTAATCTCTCCTCAGACTGAGTAATACAAACAGATGGTGTCACTCCCAGAAGAAACTGAATTCATTTCCCACTGGGAGGAAAAAAAAGATCCATTTTAGCCAACACCGCTGGTCAAGCTGCAACAGACCTTAAGTATCCAGCAAAGTCGAGGTTGTTTTAAACATAATTTGATGTTTTCTTGGACGGATGCCGTTGTAACTGAACCACTAACAGGTTGTGCGGCGTCACAAGGGAAACAGCGTCCAATAATTTTTTTTTCCCCCCTTAACATCATTTCACATCAAAATAACTGAGCCATGAGGGGAAAGTACCACTAAAAGCTTTCAGTCAACTGCAGCCTATGAGTACATGTATAAAGCTTAGCACTGCCATCATCTGCTGTCTTTATTCATAACACAAACAGTTTCTCACTCCAGGATGAAAGTGATCTCTGTCTCCCACTGAACGGCACGCAGAAGCCGCAGCAACAGACATAAAAGAGCGCTTTTGAACACAGAAGGTCTAAAAGGGACATGGAGAGAAGAATAAGCTGTGTGCAGAGAGCAGTATCACAACAGTATCAGATTAAGGCTGTGAAACCCAGGAGGTGATCCAATGGAATTGGGTTGAGGCTCCACACAGCAATAGGATAGATAGAACCCCCGAGAGGCTGTCTGAGTGAGCAGACACTCACAGTTCAGCTCAGTACATGAGCAAGACGGCAACAGGGGTAGGTGCTCAGTGCAGTGGAAAATGAACAGAACATAGGTGATGAATTGTCTTTTTGTCATTACACTTGACACTGTTAAAGAGCCGCATTCTGTCCGTGGAGGCAACGCTGGAAACACAGACGTGGCGATGGGAACTTCAACAATAATCATGTGTGCAGTACGTTAGCTGAGCAAAGTTCCCTGAGTGTTTAGGAGAGCTGCCAAATCCCCTTCGAGTTGGACTTTAGTCATGCTTTGGATCAGCCTACGATACCGCACCGCATCCACCAGGGGGCTCAACCTCATCCTAGTCCTCTCCACGTCCCGCTGCCACACCTCTCGACACCTTAGAAGCCCTTCTGCAGAACCTGGGGTTTCTTCATGTCCAGTACTCTTCTTCTTTGCCTCCTCTTCATCTTCTTCACAGAGTAGCAACGACACACCCTCCCTGAGTGAGACCACCTCATTTTCCAACGCTAAAGCGAACATTTGTGCTGTACTCTCACCTCTCGCACCTTTGACGGGACGGACGGAGCAGGATGCAGGGAGGTACGCCAACAGTGAGTCCAAGAACTGGAGCATCTGTAATTGGCTGCAAAGAAAAACAGCAGAGCCAGATTTTAGATGCTATTCCATAATACATGTTGCAATAAATTTAAAAAAAAGATTGAAGTCTCTTGAAGTCTTTCCACCCTTTTTTTTTGTCATTTGTCAGCCGATTCACAACCAGCTACCTGTTCAGAGTTCATTTGCAGGATTTGTAATTTTAAGTGCTCTGCTCGCCAGAGAATCCTAATCTATTTGATACAGCGAAATATCATGCAGACATACACCTTAGTCAACTTCAAAGCCTTGTCAACTTTGAATCTATTAATATAAATTGAGCAGTGGCCACCTCTACTTGCAGAACTACCTTCTCTTTTTCTGTTGCATAAAACTGAATAATGCAAGATATTCCCAGATGGTGGTGTTTCAACCAATACACCAAGCAGAAAGATTGCATTTGATATTTAAATGAATATCTTGGATTTTTCTGACTTGACACAACTATTAAATTAGCTGTATGTAACATTTCAGATCACTGTGGACACTGGAGTAACTGGCAATAGTGCTATGGAGCAATGTTGTTCCCTGTGGACCCCTGTTTGTTGTTGTTGTTTGTATATTTAATGCACAGGGAACATTTAACTTCAAAATGTAAAAAATGCATTCTTTCATCTTGTGAATCGATATTTTATCAACATTCAACTAAAACTCAGTGCTATCCAAAACCAACAACTCTGAGGTCAGTAACACTTGGTGGTGGTCAGTCAATAAAATGATTTACCTGGAATGGACGGACAGTTTCCCCTGGAAAGGGGTTGACTGATGCCAGCGCAGCAGCATGACAGCAGATGGTCCTGACGAATTTAACAGTAGATACTCAGGGTTCACTTCTATCTTCTTACAGCCCACTCTTTTCTGAATCCAGCCATCTATATCACCTAAACTGTAATCAGGTGAGTCTATGTGGAGGACCCAGCGGTCCAGCACTGCCAACAGACTCAGCAAGTCCTCTCTAACCTCATCTGGACAAAAAACAAAAGAAGACAATAATCAACATCCATGTGCGAGAATTAAAATCTGAAGTTGCATGCTATTGTGAGTTTACCTGTTCTAAGTTGAGGGTTTTTCAGCAGCTGGGATTGGAAGTCATCATTAATGTCTAACACAACTTGACCACAATGCAGAACTACCGGTGCTGGATCGCTCACGAGGCCAAAAGCATCTTGTCTTTGGACGTAATGGAGCATGACACTGCATTTGACACAGTCGGAGTTCAACAGAGGTGTCAGCTTGGTCACCGCAGTCACAGCCAGTCTGCATGTGTTGAGATCATTGGGTCTGCTGGCGTTATGCTGCTTGCTTCTTTTGGCTGCGGGCTCCGGGAACGAGGAGGCAGAGGAGGATGATGAGGGGCAGGGCGCAGGGAGCCAGAACACTTGGCTCCGGGTCTGGATGACGGCGGGCGTTGAGCTCTGGCCCGTCTCTGTCAGGATGGATAAGCTCACGCCGCTCACTGGTCTGAAACAAAAATAACACATCACTAACGATCAGATATCACGCGGACAGTGGATAATCACACTGGAAATGGGATACAAACTACAGACTGGGTGTGTAAATGAAGGTGTGACAGCTTGTGAACTGATTATCACCAACATTTCCAGGTGGTGAAATTAAATCAGGTGGACAAATGCACCAATCAAAATAGCAACATATGAGCTCTTGAGGCCATCGTGCCAGAAGTCATTTTCCTCTGCGCGTTCTCAAATGAAATATAGAGGAACAGGTGGATGGAGGAATCTGATAGCTTTCTTGTTTCCACAAAAGGAGCTTGGAGAGTTATTAAAAACTTGTTGCCATGGTGACCACCTAGTCACCTTGCATCTGCCTCGAAGTCCGGGGCAATCAAAGAGGCAAATAAACATCCTTACTCAATTAGTGTTGAGTTTCTTCACAAGAATGCCTCATTGATTCTGTCATGTCACAGCTTCTTTTGTTTTTTTTTTTTGATTTACTCAACCTGATCTGTCCACATTGGCAAAAGTTGAGATAGATCTAATCAGGCAGCAGTGATATGGTCTGACAGCTGGGCAGCAGTACTTCTGATTAAAACACAGAGCGCCATATAAATATCATCTACGTCTTTGCATCGCATGGATCACCTCAATTAAATCAACTCATTATACCTGACAAGACAACAAGTTAATGGAGCGTTTTTAGAAGAATCACTACAAAGTGTTTGGATCGTATCTGGTTCTTTGGGCCATATTTCAGAAAGCTGATGCTTCAGTCCATGAAGCTCACATATCCTTCACACACACAAAAAAAATTTTAATTTAAAAAAATAAATTATCTTTACCGAGAGCTGTCACTACTTAGTATCACTCCAACAATCATTTGGTCCTCAGTGATGCGATGCCACAGCTTGTCAATTTGAGGTTTTGAAGACACTGTCGGCGCGTGTTGCATCTTGTCATCCAAGGCCTCGTCCTTTGACTCATCATCACAGTCCCACAGAGCAGTAAGGCCTTCCTAGACAGAAAGTGCAAAGACTATAATCAACAATGACAAGTGTGTGACAGCACTGACACCAATAGCAGTTTGTGTCAGACATTTCAATTTGAACAACAGCCATTTAGGCGCAGACGTAGCGGATTTCATTTGAAAACAAAGAAATGTTGCTGTCGGTCAAAAGACAGGGAAGTATTTGGAAAGTGCTTTTCAATAGTGTTTGTTTTGGGAGATAGGCTATACGCCACAAGTTTTTAATTAAATGTAAGACATGTCACTGTGATAGGAATTTCCTTAATGAATACTGCTGAAAATTAAAAAGCTAGTATCCGGATTACAAATCTAAAATCCCCTGCAATAAATGTTACATGCCATTGTTTTGTTGGCTAATTTAAAATCTGGCCAAGGAACCACAGTTGAACAACATGTCCTAATCTCCTGCCTAAGAACTATAGCTAACAGTTCTGATAAGACAACACAGTAAACAGTATGTTCTGATCCAATACTGTCACACAGCATAGAGTTTTCTGTCATGGTTGTACATGTATGTTTCCTTACATCGACAGTACCTGCTCATGCTGGCTGAGAACAGTCTCTCTTCCTGAGACCACATCGGTCAAGGCTCCGACTGTCTGCTGAAGAACTCTGTCCTTCACTCTCCCTTCTCTCTGAAGCTCTTGAAGCACGATCAATCCACTCTAAATTAGAAATCATATTTGATTGACCGTATACATTATACATTGAAAACACACAGAGCGATTGAAACTAGGTTCAATCGGAGCGGGTTGGCATCTCACAAAATCAGTTCATATACGCCGTCGCCCATAAAGATGGAATAATTTTTGTTTTCAGACACATTCCTCTTTTTATCTCTATTTAAACACATCAGTAATGACTTCTGACCAGGTTCAATGATTACATGCTGAGTCACAGTTACCCAGCTGAAACTAAATCTGACTTTGGGATCTGACCAAAGAGTGGGACGTTCTGAACATTGACACCATCAACAAGTTTGTGGACAGTATGCCATGATGTCATAACACACTGATGCGTGTCAGGGGCGGCCAGACTCAATATTAGTGACTGAGTGGCATTTAAAAGAGTAATAATGGACATTCTCATGCATTAAATCCCTCCGAATACGTGTTTCCTGTTGTATGACCAAGATTGAAAAATTGAAACAAAACCCTTAATCCTACTGTTCAATACCCCCAACTTTGTTTAAGCTTGAATTCACAGTTTTAAAGTTATTTGTGGTAAAATTTTTACTGTAATATGTATTGTATGTATATTGTGATACCAATAAACTTTTGAGAAGATATAAACTTTATCTATCAAGAATAAATCACATTGTCACAATCGTTTAATGAGAAGAGGTAAAAAAAATTATATATTTTATTCCAACTTTATGGGCAACACTGTACATTCAAATATTTTTTCCAATTTTGATATATATATCTATATATATATATATATCTATATATTGTTATATGGCATATATTGAACAATGATGTGATAATTTAAAGGACAGCGTCACCTTGTTTCACACATGTAAAATAAAAATAGGAGTTATTCTTATATTTCTGCTAGAATCACTAATTATTTACAAAATTTTGTAAAAAATAAAAATAAAAAATTGTCTTGATATGATTACACTAAAAGACATTGACATTCAATTAATTATTATTATTTTATGGTTACTATCACAATTTCATGGGCTGAACGGCTGATTAAATTGATCAAAATGTTAATATGGCCACGTGCTATATTCAAATCACAAGATGAAGATAAAATAAAGTGTGTCCATATCACTATCAATGAAGCACTGTGATGTTACCGAGAAGCCTTGGCCCACGAATCATTTTCTCATTTTTTCTTTTTTCCAATTGAGAAAAAAATAATGATTAAAAGCAAGTCTAAAATCATGACATATATTGCAAAATATTTTCAATATGATTTTTTTTTTGTGTATAGCTCAGCTCAAATTGAAACCATGATTCTAGCGCTGCCACACCTCCTCCAGTAATGTGTTATAAAAACTCACCTGTAGTCTGGACTCCAAAGCTTGAACAGTGAGTAGATAGTTCTCTGCTGGAGGTGAGGATGTTTTTGATGCTTCGGTACCCTGACCACGCTGAAATGTATATTTTTAATTAGTCATACTGGCATTTGGTCTCTCAAAAGGTAAAGTCATGTAACGATAAAGTAGCAAACTGCAGCTCAGTCAAAAAAATATGCCTTACGGAGTACGAAATACCACAAAGGTCTGTGATGAGAAATTTTTCCAATGGTTGCCCTGCTGCACCTTGATCCTTAAAAACCAGAAGTATCTGCTCTGTTCCACATCCCAAGAAGTCATCCACATGGACAGAGCTGACATCTGACCAGAGGGAGGCTATCTGGAGAAACATGTTTAACAAAGAGGGCTTATTAAAACCTATAAAGTCAATGTGAGTTGCTCAAAAGATAATGACACCACAGTTTTGCATACCTGAAAAGTTTCCTTCCATACAGCACAAACATGCCCCTGGTGAAAGGAAACAACAAACAGGCAGCCATTCCTTCCTGCGTCAACTACCTGAATATTTTCAGGCTGCTCAAAAGGTAGCTGACACACATCTTTCACAGCTCCATTCTCGAAATAAACAAGCTGCTGTTTAGACGTTGCTGCAACCACAGTGCATGTCAGAACACCGTCCTCGCTGTCAGCCGCGAGCACAAAGAGGCACTGTGTGATGCAAATGTAGGGATGAGGTAAAACCAGTGAGCCATCAAACACTAGTCCATTTTCAACAAAGCAGCCAACAGTTTGGCTTGTGAGCTGGTCATTTAAGGACTTTTCCGACACGTTTGGCAGCCCAAGAACAAATATCTGTCCTTTGTGGAGGGGAAGTTCTGAAACAACAATGTGGGACAACTGGATGGGGATCTGCTTCACACCTCCTGCCTTCAGAGATGTGTAAAAGACAGTATTGTCATGAGTCCACAACACTGTGGGGCCCTGCAGGATGCTCACATTGTCCTTCATTTGATAGGGGAGTTTAAACTCAATGCAGGGCTCCAGTTTGTTTGAGCTGCTCAGTGTGAGGAGGCTATACTGGAAGCTGTGTCCTTTCTCACTCGTCCTCGTCACTAAAATGCATGCAGTTGTGACTCTCTTCCGAACATCTGTGACACATTTACATTTTACAATATCCACATGAGCTGATCTCCTCCTGCTGATGACAGCTGCTCCATCTGCTGCCTTCAGGAACGCGTTGTCTCCCCGTTCAAACGAAAAGCTGCAGAATAGCAACTCGCTTCTTTCGCCGTCATTTGTGGCTGAGGCTCGTTTGCGGTTAAAAAACGTGATCTTTCCACAGTGTGCAAGCCTATGGGGATTTCGACACAGTTCGTCCGAGAGGAACCCCTCCATTGTGCAACAGAAAAGCGTCAAATTCCTACCGGTTAGATTTCTCCGTAGTGACAGCTTGAAATAACGTGATAAGTCACTTGGGTGCTGCCAATTCCATGGCAGGAGCGTTACTAATGTGTATAAATGGACGTCTTGTTGCTAAATTTACTTGTGACCGAGATGAATGGCTGTATTCAACGTTTCACGCCGACTATCCGTACACTCGAAGTAGCGCGCCAACTGAAAGTGAACGCTTCCTGTCTCCCGCGGTGCATTCTGGGTGAGACTTGGTAAACAGAAGTGAGTTGACGACATATATCGGAGTGTGTCACAAGTTAGTCCTGGTATTTCAATGCGCCCACTGTATGAGTAATAAGGTGGACGCTTATACTGTGCCCTTAAACACAGTTCATCGCTCCCCTCCCTCCGTTTAAGTTCGAATAAACAACAAAGCGGAGAGGAGGGGCCACGGACGGAGCCAAAATGGCAGCGACGGGACGCCAGTTTCTCACTTCGCACTGATTCCTCCAAACATCAGTTGGCTCAACTCGCTGCCTCAACGCGGAACTACCAGAGAGCCGGGGACGGACAGCTGAATATGGCTGAGGTTGATTCACACGAAGGAGTCCAGGTATCGTCAACGACCGTTAGGACACATTTTCTTTTCTCAGCTGCTTTTCCAAAGACGTGTCTAACTTGAACTTCTTTGACAGGACCTCGAAAAGAAAATTGAGGAAACGAGGCAGAGATTCAGGAATGAGTTTCTTCAAGGTAACACAGTTATTTTGGACATTAGGCTGACACCAACTCACTCCCTGGTCAGTCACTTTGGTTGCAGTTTCTCGGTTATTGTCATGCAGCGTACACAAATTCAAATACTGTGGCTTGCGTGTCCACTAGTTTGTGTTACTTTACGTCCTGTTAGTAACGTGTTGACCTCAATGCTCAAAGCCCAGATAAGCTGCAACAGATACTAGCTAACGTTAGCTCTCCACAGCCACAAGTAGTATAGATTAAAACAGCCTGGCTTTAACGTTATGGCCTCCAGAGAGACTACAGTTGAGTTCCCAGCACCATACCATGGGTATTGAAGGTTTAAAGCGTTTTTAAATATGAAAGTAAAATCTCATTCTTGACCTATTGGAGTGTGAAATCATGTGACTCAGCTCTTGTGGTTGTGTTTGCAGATTCGACAGACAAGTATGACTCCAGGGACGTGGAGAGGCTTCAAGAAGATGATGCTTTGGTGGAGGGCTACTTGACATGGAGGCTTTACGTCGTCGATGATGCCTTGAAAATGATTGATGACAGCTTTCAGTGGAGGAAAGAATACGGTGTGAACGGTAAGAAGTTGTGTTTGCGGAACAGTTGGTAACATGATATCCGCAGCTCCACATCTCTGAAAAGTAGAGACGTGTATTCTTGTTGATACTGCTGCTATTGCCATGGCCAATATAAACAGCTTGTCCTACACAGCCCTTTTTGTATTTGGAAGCCATCGTTTCTCCAAATAAGTCAGTTAAAATCACCAAAACAAAACGGGTTATAAAGTTTTCAGCACTGGGAAGTTGTAGACAGTATTTGGGTACCTTAACAAGTATTAAAGTTTAATATCTAGTCTTGCTTTTAATCAGAAATGTTGACATTTCCATATTAGATGACAAGCTTGCAACACAAATCAGTGGATGTCTTTGTGCTCCTCTGGGATTAATCCTGACAGAGTATCATTGTGTTAAACACCCATATCTCCGTACAGAGGCTACAACTGGGAACAATCCCCACTGTTCTTTCAGAGGAATTTCCCAGAGTTGCAGCCTGTTGATCTTTAATCCAGCAAATTCTATTGGTGTAACAGTTATATTTGAGTAATTAGATTTATTTTAGTCTCTAGAACTAAGGCTGTATGACTTAGTCCTTACGCTGTTCGCTTTCATTTCATCAGCTGAAAGGGGTTAAAAACAAATGTGTTATTTCCTGTCCAGTGGCAGTTTCAGGAAAGCCCGCCTCCATGGGACTGACTTCCTCAACAATAAGATTTTATAAAAGCACTGAAGTATTGTAAATTCATGATTTCCTCTAGAAAATCAAACAGCATTGCAGTTCAGTCCTAATGTAAATGTAATCTAGTACAGTTAAAATTGTTTTAAGTGGTCCGATCTAAGATATTGTGTGGCTTAAAACATAGAAAATATGGAATTAAATTGTATAAAAGATGTGTATGAATCTAACAGAGAACTTTTGCCTGGGATGTAAAATTGGCAAGTCAGGTCACAGTTGTTTACATTCCTCATTCAAAACAACAGATGTTCAAACACAGTGCTTTCCAAAAAAAATAAGTAAGATTAATGTTGCAGATTTACCCAGCAAGTTTAAATATCAAGTGTAAGACCCTACAGCATTATTTATTATGTATAATTACCTTCTAGTTTAAATATAATGGTGAAGATCCTACAATATGATGTAACATACAAATTTGTCTGTATAATTTAAGTTCATGTAAGTTAAGAGCCTACAAAATGTCATGCCATACTAATTGCCTGGCTATTTTAAAAATTAAAATTAAGGCCCTACAAAATTATACGTGGAAAACCCAATGAATCCAAACTTTTCCTTTTAAGCAAGGAAACTGACAACAGGGGATAGGAACAACTCCCTTTTAATAGGCAGAGACCTACAGCAAAGCCAGATTCAGGGACGACAGCGATCTGCCTCGACCGGTTAGGGTGAGGCCAACGGGAAGAGAGAAGAGGATAACAGAGAAAAACAGGCAGTTAGCAAAAAAAAAGGAAATATAAACATTGGGCGTGAGGCCTGTAGCTGCAGATCTGTAAGTGCCATGTATAATCCGCCTTGAATAAAAACAAACACCAGCAAACGGTGTAATGTGTGTCTTCCTGTGTGTTTCAGATCTCACTGAGAGCACCATTCCTAAATGGATGTTTGAGACTGGTGCCGTCTACCTCCATGGTTACGACAAAGAGGGCAACAAGCTGTGTATGCAGATCTTTTATTACTTTATTACCTACATGCAGTCAACATCAATGTCATACACTCACAGCTCAGCCTTTGTGTATTTGTAAGACTAGTTTATGTTTTGCACTGAAAATGTGAGGGGAAAAAATCACCAAAAGCTCACATAAATAGAAAACTGCTAATGAGGCAAAAAACAATTTTATTTTCTCTGTTTAGTCTGGTTCAAGGTGAAGCTACATGTCAAGGATGCAAAAACCATAATGGACAAAAAGAAGTATGTTGCCTTCTGGTTGGAGCGGTATGCGAAGAAAGAACCTGGGATGCCACTCACTGTTGTGTTTGACATGGCAGATTCTGGCCTCAGCAATATAGTAAGTCGATAAAGATGGTGTTTCAGAGGGATTTTTCTTGCAATTATACGACTAACTTGTTTTTAAATACATGTCTCATGCTCTCTGTTTTGCATGCTTTCTTGTAGTTAATATCCAGGTCTCTAAAACAGAAAACTCATATTGCTTTTTTAATTTCGTTCCTGCTAAGAATTATTCACTCTCGAGATAGAAAAAGACCATCCCTCTGCTGTGACTGTCACCGCAATACTGTTGAGCATCCTCATATTTCTTGCTGCTTGAGCTGTGGTCTTGCAGGCACTGATTCTCTTCAATGGTTTTACACTTTGGAGATTAAAGTAACCTTTAAATCCTGATGGTCAATTCGAGTGGGCTGTCTAATCCGTAGACTCGCTGTGTCACAGGCGTTAGCTCCTTGATGGAGCTCTCCGTCAGTGAGCGCATTTCATTGGCTGGGCTCTCTGCTGGAGAAATGGCTCAATTAAATACAAATAAACCAATACAAGTAAGGCAAAAAAAAAAAAGAATAAATATCCATTGAACCCAAATATAAATTGAGTAAATCAAAAGATCACTTTGGAAAGCAGCCTTATTGAGGCCTGTTGAACTGCAGTATGAGCTGGAGCAACGGTAGCCAGTATGATCTCATTAAGGCTTTGGGAGAGAGTCTGCTGCATAGCAATGAAGCTTCTAGCCAATTATGGAGCCCAGCCAGGGTAAAAGGCCTGTATCTATTGACATATTGGCTGTTTGTCTGAGGCTTTCAGTTAACATGAAACATTAAAGTTAACATTTTTACCTAAGATGATTTAAAGCACAGCAGAGCATTTCACCTAGAGATACAGGTTATATATAATATTTACCGTACACATGCTATATCTGTCTATGCTGTTTGAATCAGAGGCTCTTTATTATTTATGTACAGAAAAAGCATTTACGTCTAAGCCATTTACTGTGAACTCTGCTCTTTTGTAACTTGCATATAGGAGTGTCTCCTAGAAATAATAAAGGCGTGAAATCTGGTCAGTGCAGTCAAATTGTGGGAAAACAGATTGTTTAAAAACAAGGCTTACAGTTTTCTGTTTTGTAAATTGGTCAACGCAAAATGTAATAGAGTTCGCAAAATTAGCAAAATAACATCCTCAAGTGTTTCTCTTGCAGGATGTGAGGGGAATTGAGGAGGGGATCATTGAGAGGAGCTTGTAATGAATTTTCATTTAATGTTAAGTGGGTCACTTCAGATCTAGAGGCAGCGAAGAGAGAACAAATATCCTCCCCAGCGAAAATCATTTGTTACAGCATATTATATACTTGAAGCCTTTTCATGTGGTTGTGCTTTGTAAATCATTGTTGTTTTTTTTTCTTCTTTTTGTGTTTCAGGACATGGACTTTGTGAAGTATGTCATTAATTGCTTCAAAGTATATTATCCAAAGTTTCTATGTAAGTAACAAAAGTTGTTGTAATAGCACAAGATATATTTATCCACATTCATATATGTTACATTCACTTATTAGTAGCGATTTACAGCTATTTTAAAGTCAAATCTGTGAATTTTTAAAAAGTTTTCACTGATGAACCTGGTCTTTTTTTATTTTATTTTATTTTTTCAGCCAAAATGATCATTGTGGATATGCCTTGGATCATGAATGGTGAGATTTAGTCTATCTACTATTAGCAAACCACGCTAACTTTCCAAATTTTTTTTGTCTATCACTGACTTATATAATAATAATTATATAATTCTGACATCTCAAACATAACACATGTCTCTTCACTACAGCTGCATGGAAGATTGTAAAGTCATGGTTGGGTCC